TTGTGTTCTTATTTTTTGAGTTGGTAAGTTTCTTCATGGTATTAGAGCGAACGCCGATCTACTATGGCTCGCTCTTATATGTCTTCATAACCTTTTGCATCTCACTCAGCCGCTTGGGAGGATTCTACCGTCGGTGGACATCATGAGCTTAAAAAATCATAGCGATACCAAGAAGAAGGTAGCCATCCATGTATATGGCGTGGTTGGGCCTAACCCCTTGTTTCTCCATCCTTTCGGCTTGCCAGGTCAGGTATGCATTGGAGAACTACTCACGAACTCTAACTATGATGAGTAGTCTGCTGAAATTTTCAATGCTCTTGTTGCAAAGAACAAGTTGCGGTACGTGTTGGGTACGGTATCTCAACCAACTTATGGAGAAGAACTTTAAGCCTGAATTTGTTGTAATGCCATGGTAGTTGGCTAGCTTCATCATGCGATGACAAATGAAATCCATAGTAGCCTTAGCACCGGGGTCACTACAAAATAGATTTAAGATGAGTTGAAATAGCACTTCAGCACAAGAAACTTACCCAGACGTTTCAAAATCACGCGCAGGATCACCATTAGACAAGACCGTTAGGGCGTATCTACCTTCTATACCAAGCTCAAATGTCTATGGGATGATATGTTAACTCTTGATCCTCTAGCAGCATATACATGTGGTAATTGTGAGTGTCAACTCAAAGCACACAGTTGTGCCTCCCATGATGCCATGAGATTCCTTGGCTTTCTCGCCGAACTGAACGACGACTTCTTTATAGTCCGCATGCATCTTCTTTCTTTGAAGCCAATTCCTGTCCTTGGTGAGGTTTATCATGTTGTTGCGAATGATGAAAATCAATGGAGACTTTCGTGAGATCATCGTCCTTGTTCTGAAACAGCTGCCTTTCGAGGAAGGGGGGTTTATCCTTAATGAAGAGCGAACACTTTTGAGCCGCCCTTTTTTCCCTCATCGCAACTAACCCGATCACTTCAAGTATACCTATTTTGAGCTCCATTATTGGTCGTCTCGCATTGGAGAAAAGGGAGACAAAGGGAGGTGTTCTCGTTGCCGGCCTCAGTCACAACCCATGCACCAGCTGTGGAAAGCTCTAATTTTGTCATTATGGGATTTTCAGCAACTCAATTGGCTCAATTCAAAGCTTTCTTGAACTCGCCTCCCCAGCCAGCTTCCATGCAAGCAGTTAACCTCGCAAGTAATAATTTCTCTTTTTCTAATACTTGGGTCATTGATTTGGGTTGTAATGAGCATATTTCTAAAGATAAATAATTGATTTTCTTATGATTTGGAGATTAATTCACCTTTACAAGTTAAGATTCCCAATGGAAAGGGGATCCCAATTTTCGGGATTGGCATCTCCCAATTAGCCAATGGCTTCATCCTACTATATGTGTTGCATGTTCTGGATTTTCAGTACAATCAATCAGCCGCCTCACAACTTATCATCTAGTGGCTTTGATCTTTCTAACTGATTTCTTTGCCATTAAGGACTTGAACTCTAAGAGGATGACTATGATGGGTAGGCACAAGAAGCATTTTGTGGTTCCTCGCTATGGCATGCGAGACTTGGTCATCTGTCAGCAGCAAAACTCACTGCCTTGCAATCTTACATTTCTAATACTTTATTCATCAATAAAGACCTGTATTTGTCATGTTTACGAGCTAAGCAGACTCGACTTCCTTTTTCGATCAGTAGCATTAAGATGCACTATTGTTTTGAGCTTATTCACATAGACATTTGGGGTGGTTATAAACAAGATTCTTTTAGTGGTCCTCATTATTTTTTGGTGATTGTAGCCAATCTATCTGGGTCTATTTACTAAAGCAAAAGTCATAGGTTGCAAGATAGTTGCTACTCTTTTTCAATCATGTCCGTACTTAATATGATTTTTGTATTAAACATATTCGAAGTGATAATGGTTTGGAGTTTACTGTGTCTAAGTTACAGGATTATTATGAAATGTGGCATCATTATCCAAATCCCGTGTAATGATACTCCCCAACAAAATGAAGTTGTGGAGAGGAAGCATCATCAACTATTCGACATTGCTTGAGCTTTGCCTTTTCATTCTAGTCTGCCACTTGAATTTTGGGGGAGTGCATTATCACTTATGCTTACCTCATTAAAAAGATGCCCCTAATTTCCATTCAGAATAAGACTTCGTACAAAGCATTACTCCGCAAACCGCCCAAGCATGATAACTTATAGAGTTTTGGTTGCCTTATTTTCTCGAAAGACACTCAGTGTGAACTTTCCAAGTTTGCGCCTCGTGGACGATCTGGGAACTTTGTTGAATACCCAGGCTCTTAGTGTGGCTGTCGTGTATATGATTTGAAAAATCATCGTATCTACACATCTAGGGATTTTTTTTCTTAGAAACCCATTTTCTGTTTCATGCGACCAGTCCATCATCCCCACATGTACCACCTCTATCTGTTCATGTTCCCAATGATGACACATATGATCCACAACTTTTGTCCTCTCCGAGTAGTGGCTCTCATGGTCCTACGAATGCGCCTCCCTCTTCACATCATCATATTTACTTCCTTCGCGGTTAATCCTTTTACAATTTTTGAGGCCTCATCTACCTCGATTTCATCCATTCTTGAGCAGCATTCTTGTATTTCTTAGCCCGACTCTACAGGCTCCTCCTCCCTTCTAGCATCCCCTCTCAGTCGGGGCCACCATATGTCCAAGCCCTTGGTTCACATGGAGGGTTATGATGTGAATCTCCCCAGCTATGCCCATCGTGCTCGAGTCAAGTATCATTTAGAAGCACATCTTAGTTATCATCGACTCTCCTCTTTCCATCGTGCCTTCGTGGTCACAATTACTTGCACCTTTGAGCCACGCCATTTACACCTGACCGTTTGCTACAAGGAATGACGTGATTCCATGCATGTGAGGTTCATTCTTTGATCACTAATGAGACATGGTGTCTCTCACGTCCTCCTTTGGGTGCTCATATTATCGATTGCAAATGGGTCTATAAGGTAAAGTACAAACCCGACAACTCTATCAAGCGGTACAAAACTTTCCTTGTTACAAAAGGGTTCAATCATATTGAAGGTATTGATTATCATGATACTTTTTTTATAAGATTCCAAACTCGTGAAAGTTTAGGTTCTTTTTATCACAGTCGTGCAACCTCAATCAAACTTGGATAGCTCAATTTGATCTTCAAACGAACATAAAAATAAAGGAATTCGTGGGGTGGGGGGGGGATTGATACTCGCCACAATCATTTTGTGTTGCCGAATTTATCTAAGCTAATGATGTCATCCTTACTAGTAATGATTTGGCTTTTATCTAACATGTTAAAGGTTTTTTCATGCTAAATTCACCATCACAGATCTTGGTCCCTTGAAGTACTTCATTGGAATTGAGGTAGCTCGCTCTCGAGTGGGATCATGTTGAACCAACGTAAGTACATTCTTGATATCTTTTCTAATTGTGGTCTTCAAGCCACCCGTCGTGCCTCCACACTCCCATTGAGCAAAATCATCATCTCGGTCATCTCCCCTCGCCACCAGCACCTTACTCGTCCAATTATTGACGCCTGATTGATTGTCTTTTGTACCTCTTGGTTACTCGTCTTGACATTCCATATGTCACCAACCTTCTTAGTCAAGTGGCTCTCCTCATTAATGCCAATCATGTCTTCCAAAAGCTGACGAAACATGAGTGTGTCTTGGCTTCTCATGTAGCGCCTCACAAAATTGCTACTCTTGAGTCTTGACTAACCGAATGATCTTCTCGACAAGGTACTTAACATCACTTAGTTCCATCATCTTCTTACCAAGCTCGACATGCTTGATATCCACGCCTTCACTTGAGAGGGCGTATTACGATTGTCACTTCTCACGGTTGGAGCTCAGGGACATCTCACACTCTGCCAATACGAGAATAACAGCTGTACCTATTGTAACTTATCATTCATCCACATATGCATGTCTTCACATTATGACCATGTCCGGAACGTCACGTCCCAAGTGGTGGCATGCCATCCATCAGTTGTGACTCATCATTCATCCATAGAAGGCATCACGTCACGACCCAAGCCGTGACTTCTCTCTCTGCCAGCTCTGCAGTGCATTCTAAGTCTCTTAATACACATTCCCCCTTTTTGCCCGCCTTTTAGAAGTATTTTTGTGCTTCTAAATCTGAAACCAGGTCAAACACCTTTAAAAGTCTTACTTTTGAAAAAGTTGAAAGCTGCTTTTTACAACATAAGAGCGTAAAATCTAATCTGAAACTTTTGCAAAAAGCTGTTTTCAAACTTTTCCCTCAAAACATACTATTCTTTTATTTATATCATTCAAAAAACTAAATAAAACTAAAATAAATATTGTTTAATATAAAAAAATTCAACAAGCGACTATTTTTAAATTTTGATTCACAAGTTATATTAAAAATTCATTTCAATCTGTCAAACACCCAACTGATTTTTAAAAAAATACCTCTCTAGAAACTAGAGCAGAAACTGTTTTTGCAAAATGCACAGTATGCCAAACTAGCTCATTGACTCTTTTCACGGTTAAAACCAAACCCTATTATCCCCTTTTCCTTCTCATATATAAGTTCATTAGCAGATGTTGTGTGAATGACTAAAACTTGTATTCTGAATCATCAAAAGGATAATACGATCTCAGTTCGGAGCTCTTCAATGGATTAGTCTTCTTTCATTTTCAATTAACATGGATAGATACCACATAGATGGCGCCTTGCATTCTTGTATGTTTTGAGTTCAACGATTTCTTTTAGTAACCCTTTCATCATTGCTTCAAAAAGAATCAAACTTTTTCGCACAACCGTTCCAATTTTATTATCAACGTGATGAAATCCAAGTAAAAGTACAGAAAAAAAAAAAAAAAAAAAACCAACAACAGCAAGCATCCAAACCGAGAATTGCCATGCTTGCTAATAAACAGAAACTCATGCAGCACTTGAACACTTACTCTGAATCATCTCACAGCCATCGAATAAAGACGCCAACTTTTAAGCCTCCTTCACTTCAACAGCTTCCGCTGGAGCAGCAGCAGCAGTAGTTTCCTCCTTCGCCGCGGCTTCTTTGGCAGCAGCAGCAGTTTCGTCCTTCACCTCAACCACGAACACAGAAGCAGGGAAAGTCCTGTAGAGCCCAGTTGGGGACTTGAAATGAAGAATCCCAGTCGGCGGCTCGTCGGTGTAGATATCGCACAGAGAGACCCAAATCAGGAGCTCCCTGGTCTTGACACCTGTCAGCTTCTTGATCTTCCCCTTTTCCACCACGGCGGTCACCTCCGGCCCATAGGTGACAAGCCTCCCGATTTCTTTGAACTCGTGGGTGATGCTCTGTTTCTGCTTCAGCCAGACGAACCCTGTCTCTCTGTCGATCCCACACTCCTCGATGTCGTGAAGTGGCAGCAACCCGTTGGGGAGCTCGATCTCGGCCAGGAGCTCCTTGGATTTGGCCTGGCAGATCTCGTCGCCGTTGTAGACCTCCGTGGCCTTGGCCCTGATCTCGTCTGTCACCAGAGACATCTTTTTTTGCTTTGTCGTTGAAGTTTTGGGGGGGAGATGGTGGTTTGGAGTTGGGATGGTCTGATCTCGGCTTGCTCAACGTACATATAGTAGTTGGGGTTATGTATGTGGGCTTGGTGATGGGACAAATTTCGGGAATATGCCACTACCCATGTGTTCTTTTCTTTTGTTGTTGTTGAAACTTGAAGTCCAAGATGTGAGTAGGAGGGGAGAGGACGGATAGAGAAAAAAAAAGGGTTCTGACTGATGTTGCTCATCTATGTTCAAGTCTTGGTTGAAACTTGAAAGATTTGATGAAAATGTTTGGGAAATGTCCTCATCAAACAGACTACGAGGATAGGAGATTGAAGATCAAGCCATCCTAAATCAACGAGTAGATGAAATTTGGAAATGAAAAAAAAAAAAAAGAAAAGAGTAAAACATAGTGTTACCGAAGCAGATGTTTTTAAAGTTCGGTAAGGGGAAAAAATGGTCCAACATATCGTACCCGGCTGGGAGAATGGCTCACGCTAATACTAGCCACTTAGCGGAACGGTCTTATAAAATCTATGGGTTTAATGGAAGAAGCTTCGACGGGAGTAGATTATCGATCGTTTAATAATGAACTTGTTACCACAAAGAGGCATGTGTTGAAACCAAATTATCCTCATAGACCGGAGGAAGATTTTCTTCACGAGGACAACCCTTTAAGAACAGTCATAAGTTCATGTATTTTTCTTAATATTGTTTGTGAAAGGCATGTATCCTAAAGGATAAATGAGTGGATTACAATCCTTAGGATAACGATTAAAGCATGCAACTTTACATCGAATCAAACCTATGAGTTCTGTTAGGGAATCATGGTAGGATATACCCAAAAACTTCAGAATGTACTGGCATCTGACGCCGCAATAAATGATGAAATGGCTAAAGAAGTTTTACGTGAATGCATTTTGGCAATAATAGCCAATGACTTGAAAAGAGAATTTTGTGGATTAAAGTTGTCATCAATTGAAACTTTAAAAAACGATCAATCTATAATGGTCCTCATGAAACTTCAAATTTGTGACAAATGTTATTTTGATAACTACATTTGTGAATTTCTAAATTAATATTACAATATAAACTTAGTGTCTCAAGAATACATGAACAAGTTGTTCTTTGCTAAGCTATCAAATCCTTAAGAAGAATTAAATTGTTGATGGATTAGGAGGAAGAATACAAGCAGTAATGTTATGCCATGAGAAAGGCATGTACTGAACTTTAAGTTAGGAGGATGCTAAAAGGCTTCTCTATCTTAACGACAGTTGTTGTGCCCATATAGAGTATGTTCCTGGTAGGAAAGGACGTTCTAATGAATTAGAGATAGTGAAAAGATTAACGCATTCAAGATAAATATGGAACATGAGTGAAATGTCCCAAAAAGGAAACCTTTGAGCAACTATTCATGTTGTTGGGTTTGTGGATCGAAAGATCACAAAGCTAATCCCTGTCATAACAAGAGTAGAACATAAATTATTTGAAGGATCTTGTTTGAAGGGAAACAATTAGCCTACAAGCCCATTGATGAAGATGAGCTGTCGGAAGTAGATTCTGAAGTAGACTTAGTTGACGAAGTAGTGTTAGAATATGAATCAGACACCCAACTCTAACTCTTCATGAATAATAAAGAGTTAGTATTCATGAAGAGTTAGTCTGATTGGATAACTCTATGGTACAAGAAGAATCCTTCATGTACGATGATCAATCCACTAATAATTTATAGTGGAAACTGCCTGAATTAGATAATAATGCTATCAACAAAAAGTAATTATTTAACTTCAAAAAGATACTAAATGTTTCCCATTCAGAATACATCACTATGGGTGAATATAATTATATTCACATAGGATTAGTTCAACTTGGACTAATACTATTATTCCATTTGCCCATGGATAGATAGTTGTTGTCATTGATGAATGCTAGAAAGAGTTCAAGTATCAATTAATATCAGGATTTCAAACAAACTTGGCATATGACCCTATTTGGTTCCAATCCTATCAAAATTATCTCATTACCTTGGACGACAAGTGCCTAGGGAAATCTTTACATTTTAGAATGAAGCCCATGAACAAGGATAAAATGAATCCTCAGGTTAAATACTTTGCATATCATACTAGGTTGCTTTACCGCTTAGTTAACAATACATACTTTAGTTTTAAGAATATCTCAAAATTCACTTAGTTATTTGAAGAAGGGTCAAACCATCTTAAGTAATTCCGTAGAAAGGAAATAAATCCTTTAGAATTTTCTTGACCTAGGAAGTGGGTATTAAGAGATCTTGGTGAAATCTTGCAATCACTTGGAACATCTCAAATATGTCAACAAGGTTATGAAATTTTACTATATTTCGAAGAACCACGGTTGTAACATTCTACATCTACCCGAATACCTCAGTCAATACCCAATCTTCCACCTATTAGAGGAGTTGAACAAGAATCAGGTCGAACATATCTTTACCTATTGGCGTCAACATCATCCCGAAAATTAGTGGACTCTTCCTAAAGGAAGGTAGTGGGTTATCAAGATATTAACGAGGAAACTTTTAATGGTGGTACAGAAGAACAACAAGGGACCACGATGATGCACATAAATAATGAGGTTGGTAACATAAGCACTTATATTGAGGTCAAATTCTAATTCCAATTACAAGGATACTTCCCCTACCTCCTAGATACACCAATAGATACAAGATGAATCACAAGTGGCGCTCTCCCCAATGCCCTTCCTGTAGAGTGGTGGAAACCATTACCAACACTTATAGCTATGAAATGGCTAATGGAGATGGAGCTTAATTACTCATTTTTTCTCTAATGTCCGAGTTGTAATTTCAGGCATTTCCTAAGCTTGACGATGATTTTATTCACGAAAATGCATTCTTAAAAGGGCAACAAAAGAATCTACCTTAAATACAAAATACTCACAATATCTCGCTATAAGGTCTCACCGTTCCTGGTATTTCATCTCCTCGAGTAAAACTTAAATTTGAGTTTTTACCTAGTTAAAACTTCATCAGTTTGTGGGTTTGAGCCATATGAGCTAGCTTATAGCGTGGGATACATGGTATCATGAGCTATTTGGTGAATCAGAAATATGGATTGATGAAAATTTTGATGGAGGAATAAGAACTAAAATATATTCCACAAAATTATGCTTTTGAACGATGCATAATAGAAGAATCTTTTACTAAATGGTACGAAGAAATGTTTGGATATGGCAAACATATTTTGTGTAATCAAACACAAGGTATCTCTATGATACAAAGTATAATACCTAAAGAGCTACCATGGCAAAAGATTTTAACCAAGCTAACCAATAATTTTAGTGAAGACCCACTAAAGTTAGGGAATTTAAATTATATCACAACCAAACTCGAATTAAAATATTCGAAGACAGTTATCAGAGCTGAAAGTATAACATATACAACTCAAATGATAGAGGAGTTTGATAAACAAATTACTAAGTTAATAGAAAAATGATTAATTCATAAAAATTTTAGCACTCACTCTAGTCCTGCTATCATGCTAATCAATCATGCACACATGTATGAGGCAAAGCTCGTATGATCATAGATTATCAATAATTTAAAAAATTTACCAAAGATGATGGCTTCATATTCTCTAAGTTTGATCTTAAGAGTGGCTATTGGGAAATTAAAATGGAAGAAGAATCAATTCCTTTAACACAATGTTCCACAAAGAATGTATGAATGGTTAGCTATGCCATTCGGGTTGAAGAATGCACATGGGTTTTTCAAAGAAATATGGTTGATTCTTTTGAAACTCTAAAAACATTTTGTGTTGTCTACACAAAAGATGTGTTGGTATTTAGTGAAACAAAGAAGAACACATGAGCCACCTTGAAAGGATGGTTGCAATGTTCCGAAAGGAAGGAATGATTCTATCCGAGAGAAAGACATATAGAAGAGTATTGAGAGAAAGTTAATTTCTTGGGTATACAACTTGATATGGAAGAATATGGCTAAAAATTCATATTGTCGAAAAATTAGTAAACTTTCTTGATGAACTCGATGATAGAAAGCAAGTACAAAGATTATGTGGTCTTGCTAACTATGCTAGACATTTTATAAAAGATCGTTCAAAACAATTAAAAAATTATCTAAGAAAACATCTGGTAAATATAAATATTTGTGAAATTATGAAGACACATAATCTGTTAAACTGGTAAAAGGAAGTGTTAAAATCTTGATTGTTTAAGTCTACCATCAGATAAAGATGAATTAGTCTTGGAAACTGATACTTCTAATGAATTTCGGGGAGTAGTGTTGAAAATCAAAGGAAAGACACCATAACAAATTTGTAAATATTGAGATGGTACTCTCAAGGGTGTTGAAATGAGATATTTTATCCATGAAAAGGAAGTATTAGTTGCCAAAAATGGTATTAAGTCTTTCTTTATTATCTTGCTCCTAAATTCATATTACGAACATATTCAACACATGTGGAAAGATTTAAAAATCTCAATCTCAAAGAAGCTAGACAAACTAGAATTTTGAGATTGCAAGAATGGTATAGCTATTACAAATTTGATATCGAACATATTCCTTCTGAGTTCTGACAAGAATGTGATAACTGACACTCTTTCTCAAGAATTTACTAATATTACAGATGGATATTGTTGCAAAAAAAAAAGCGATTTGCTGGATATGGAAGAGCACGGGACACACTAGGAAGAATTGTCCTAACTGGACTACCATAGATAGAGAAAATAAGAGCCACAGAAGAAGCTCTAGCATACAGAGGGCAAAAAGAAACAAATTTCCTGGTCCTATAGGGACAAAACAGACAAAAAGATTGGGACATTAATAAAATAATTGGTCTCATTGAAGCCCTATCAATTTGTCCACCCTGGCAGGATAGCATCTCAAATAGTGTGGAAAAGGAAAGGACCATAACTTTCAAAGGTTGAAGAAATCTTGGTTCCATAACAAGGATCGAAAAAATATGAATACATTAATATTC